AAATTTACCTTCTGGGCTGGGATCCCTAGGGGCTACGTCTACTGGGTTTATGGCACAGTATAAAAGATCTGAAATGAGTTATAGGAAAAAAAGCGTCCTGTCATGTTTTAAGTACATTGCTAGAAAACAGATTGTATTCTTTTGCTCTGTTAATGAGTGAAGTATTTCTTAAAATCAAACTCAACTGAGCAGGTGCAAACTCATTTAAACTGCCAAATTGACTGAGACAGATACAATGTGCAAATGCTCATGTGTGCATTCAATACAAGTTAGTCATAAAAAAAGAGTGAGGGAATATAAGTAGTAGAGTATAATAATACTGCAAATAATACTGACTTAGTAATCACAGTTGGCATGAAGATGTATATAGTGAATATAACTTGTGAACCAAAAGGAAGTGAGATCCAGATGGAAAAAGAGAAAATTAAATAAGGTCTTCCTAGTCCCACTTTAATTTATAGTGTAGAACCAAAGTTGGTTTAACAGTTGGTAAATAAGGTTTTGTTGATTTATATTCTGAGTTTACATCAGAAGCTGATTTTTTTTCATGAAGAACCCCATTCCAGAGTGTGTTCCCTGCTGCCCTAGTGGTACAGATGTTGGTAATGATCATGGTCTGGTTAGTGTTCTCCTTGTAGGGTTATTTGGGCTGTTGAATATTGTATTTTTACAGGGGAAAAAAGGAAAACAAGGTGGAAGCATTCATTCTGAAGATAAGTGAATATTTGGGGGCTACATAGTTTCTCTTGAGAGAGATGAAATGTTAAACTCTAACATCTGGGAGCATCTGTCCTTGTAGTCCAGCCTGTGGATTAACTGAGTGCTAAACTGCCATCATATTTTCATGGAGATTTAGAGAACGAACAGAAAGTGCTTAACTGTTTTGACCCAGTCTAATTTTAGAACCGTAGAATATGTAAGCAAATGCTAGCTGTATTTTAAAATATACATAAGCGTATGTCAAAAAAATTTTTTTTTTTTTTTACATAAGGCCCTAATTACATAACAACTGGATTTTTTTAGTTCAAGATAATGTAGTTCAAGAAAAGAAAAAATAGTTAATTTAACAGTTCTATGAAACTTTCAGAATTCTTTATTTATGTAAAAAGGCTAGCATTTAACATTTATAAATTAATTAATTTTAAATATTCAATTAGATGAATTATTGTAGTCTAACCCCATGGTGATTCAGTCTCTCTTTCTACTGGTATGACAAGTATCTAAAATGGGACATCAAGTTTCTGTGAATATCTGTAGCTCAGTGTTCTGCTTTATTTTTCTACTCAGAGTTTTACATTAATTTTTCGATGGTAGAAAATGAGAGAGGATTTTTTTACCTGTTACTTATATTTCATGTTAAGATAGTTCTGGAGTAGTTGCCATTTTTCTTGGGTAGTCACGTTTTGCCCTTTAATAGGAAATTTTAGATGACTTCTAAGTATGTCAAGGACATTAACTTGCTGAAGATGTCTGTTTGTGGCAATGCAGCAAAGATTTTAAAGTCATTAGTCAGGCTAAAGTCTTTCATCCACTGATACTACTAGGAGTAAATCACAATACTCTGTTGAGCATTTTTAGATTCAGTAGAGTATATACCAAACGTGAGAATGGATAAGCAAGCATGTCTTCCTTCTATCAGTGTTTGGCAAAGATTGTTCCTTAGTATTTCCATTCTTGTTCTGAGATACATTTCTACAATGACAGTTTACTATGCTTTAACAAAAAGATCATTCTTAATTATGATGAATGATTTATTCCCTGCTGTACCGTTTAATGGTGAAGTATTGTTTAGGAGATTTGACAATTTAATGCTTATTCATATCTGTATTTTCAGTATTGAAATGAGTAATAGCATGGAAAGCATCCACTCTGTTAGTCTGTAATTTCTAAATTCAGGAAAGTTGTGGGGTTTTGTATGAATATTAAAGCCCAGTAATTTATGTTATCTCTTGTTTTTAAGGAAGATACATAAGATCACTGAATTCAATGCCTATATGACTACTCTTTTTTTTTGTGTGCAATGTCCACTTCTGTAAGAGTTAGCTATCTTTTATGTAGGGTAACTGAGTGCTAGTAACAACTGAGAGAATTGTAGAAGAGTGGAATAAGATGTGAATTTGAGCTGCTGGAAAGCAGACATATCCGTGTTGCATCAACACTACAAGGTTTTTAAATTGATGTGGTAGAATCACCAAATTTTATTTTTTGGATGATCATTCTCATAAATGCCCATTTTCAGAAATACTATCATGAATGCATAATCATATCTCGATGCCCTTCTAACAGTTCATCTGTGTGATGACAAGGTTAACTTATTAAGGGCTTATTAAGGGCTTATTAAGGGACATGTGTGCCTAGCATTTACATACCTGTCTCATACTGGAATCCAGAAATTTGTATTAGGTGCCTAAACTCCTTTTGTTGCATGCTGGAAGAGTTCAGGGTATGAGAAAGATGCCCAACACAATGAGTTAAGCCAGCTATTGGTTTTTGATTGTGGTTTTTATGTGTATAAAAAAATCGTGACAATCATTTTCTAACATGTGATGGTAGCTAATAAGAACATCTAGTAAACTCATCTAAACCAATTCCCTCTTGTTATACATATTCTTCCTCTTAATGGATGAATTTGATCCACTTATCAGTTGTGTCTGTGTATTTGTTAAGTATTATTTCTGGTTTGAACTTTTTGCTGTTGCACAGTGCAAGTATAATCAAGTTGTTTATATAACCTGTATCTATTGAGTAACATCTCCAGCATGTTCCAACAGCAATGAGATTTTCCATGTTGAAAGAAAGCAGACACTTTAAAAATTACTGTCTATTTATTTTATTATTGCGTTTCACATAGTACTCTAATTTGTTAATTTATTATTTTTTTTCTAGAACAGATGACCTGCAAAGAAAAGCAATCGACTATTTGCAATATTCTAATTGTGGCTAAACACCAAGAAAGACATTGAACTCTTGGGATCTGTTATTTCAACCTGTAAATATATTCAGCTGTGTTTAATTTTTTAGTCTGCCATAGGCTTTCCAGTTTAAGTGCCTGTTTAAATGGTACCAGTTTCAGTCTTTAAAGCCCTTCTACCCAGACTTTCTTAAGATTCTTAAGATTTTTCCACTAATTCCAGAAGAAAAAACAGATGGGAAAGAATAAAGTCCTTTCCCAATAATTTCCTGATCATCTCGTTGTGCAAATACATATTTAGATCCAGAATACCACATAAAAATGAAGCCCATTCTTCAATCCTCTTCCAAAATTTATTTCCATTGAAACTACCTGTTTCAATTCTGGACATAGAGACTCTTTTGACCTCGCTGTTATGAAAGAGCTTGTTGTTTCTCCTTCTACATTAAAAAGCCTTCCTAGAATGTGCATTTAGATGTAAATTGTTTGACTGTGGTAGTTCATTCAAATACAGGCCTATTTAAGGAGTTTTAAAATCTGCTTTATTGGAACCCTGTGGCTTTTACAGCACATTAGACCTAAATTAAGGAACAGGGAACCTTCTCTCCCTTTATTTCGAACTGTCCTTTCCAGCCCATGTGGCATGACACTGTCTTTAGAATTATTTATATATATCTCTCTCATTATTTTGGCACATATTTTAATGTGACAGATTTCTGTCCTCTACCACTACGCAAGTTGTCAGAGTAATCCTGGATGGAGCAGGCAGAGATTTTTGATAATCAGAAAAATATAGCATGATTTTTGGTTTCAGGTGTTCAGGTTTGCTGTCATGAAGTAGGGGATACATTTTCATATCCTCTTCTTTGAGAATAAATGGAAGCAATTCCTTATGTAGGAAATGAGATATATTTTTTTGCTTGTCGTCTCAGAAAAATACTCTATTTTTAGCCAAGCCAAAGTGATGATGGATACCAACTAATGAAGCTAAAATTGTTGTCTGGTAGAAGTTTTAGTATATTTTAAGATGACAAGTTATGTCGCGCCTTCCTCAGTCACTTGTGAGCACCTCTGAGACTCAGTTTGTGTCTTTATTTTACCAGCTGTAATGTATAGGGACTTCAGACTAGCTCATAAGAGCAGTGTGGAGGATTTTGGGGTGGGCTAAAATTTTAACTTTGGGGTAGGACAATGGTGGGTCCCAGGGATACTCTGTGATACCCTGTGTCAGGAGAGCAAGCTCAGGGTGTTGTTTGGCATAGAATAAACCAGAATAAAGGTTGTTCTCATATAATCTGGTTGTACATCTAGGGAGAGAAAGCCCTCTATAGCTATAGGCTGGACTGAGCTGGATGGCAGCTTTTACTACCTGCTTAACCGTACCTGTGCAGAAAGGTGTTCAGCACCAGTGGGGCTTGGAAGGAGAAGCTTTGCAGGAGGCTGGAGGGCAACTGGGGGGCTGGGCGGTACCACTGACTCTTCCTGCAACTGCTTCTTGAAAATAGAACTTGTGAAAATCCTGTAATTCACTGATATCAACTACCAGTATAGGTTGTAGTATGAATTATGGGAACCAGCAAATCTCTCTGTGGCTGGTATTTGGTAACGACCTGGTGATCTGAGGGCACATTACTGCCCAATAGCTCTGCAGTGAGGTGTCTTGTGTAGGAGTCACTGGCAGCTGCTGGCACTGCTCCTCCTAATTTGTGTTTTCCCTGAAGACTACTTTGGGGCTGGCACGTGCTCCTCCGTAGCTCGGGGCAAGCGTGGCAGCAGAACTGCAAGCTGAGGGTAGTATATGGATTGCCAATGGGTTTATGATTTCTAATTACTGATTTGACTTATCCCAAATTAATTCAGAACACTAGTAGCTAGAAAAAATATTATATTCTATCAAATGTGTTGATATTAAATAACTGAGGTGAGTAAATGTGACTTTTCATATGTTTTACATGGATGCTTTGAGAGTTCTCTGTAATTTTTATGATTTTAAAAATATAACTTACAGAAATCATCCTCTGTGTATATGTTTGTAAATATACATGTGTTTGCAAGGGAAATCTTCATGCTGTTTATCTTTTTTTTGCAGACAAAACCTGTTGCATTTGCAGTTCGGACAAATGTTGGGTACAGTGCAGCTCATGATGACGATGTTCCAGTCCCAGGCATGGCCATCTCATTTGAGGCTAAAGATTTTCTTCATGTTAAAGAAGTAAGTAAAACTAGAGGAGTAAATTAATCTCTCTTTAAGGGTCTATTTGAGTAATAGTGGTACTCTTTCTTACTGTTAAGATAACACTTCACATTGTCAAAACACTATACAAATGTTGTATAAATAAGGTAAGTGTGTATAAAGAACTGAATGTTCTTCGAAATACTATTCCTTAAAAGCAATGGCACAAATTCCTTACGATCAAATTAATGAAGTTTGGAAAGCAAGTGCTTTTCTTCCCTAGTAAAAATCACTTATTTAGAGCTTTAAAAATCGACATCTGCATATTCAGTGACATAATATTTGTGGGTTTTACCATTCTAGTACTTGTAGTGTTCATTGTGATTCAGCAGCCAAGGGCTGATTCTCTTTTATTTGTGTGACTGTATCTCAGTTAACCCCAAAATCCTCAAGTCTCCTTTTTTCACGGAAGTTACTTCCCTGGTACGGACAGTATTTTGTTAATGATTATGTACTGAAGAACTGATGTGATGTTTCAAGATGATAGGAACTGTCAAAAAAAGGCACTTTGCGTTTGCTACATTGGTTTTCTATTCCTGTAGTTTGGCTTCAAAAATTTTCAATTTTTACAGTTTCAAACACTTAAAGTTGTTTTCTTTCTCTGCTCCTTGCAAGACAATCCGAAGCAAATAACTTGGTAACTTTCCCACACAGGCCCTCCTTAGCAGCCTGCTGCTCCCTTCGAAATGACTCCCTCATTTTACGAGATTTCCCAGCCTCTGGTCATATTCCATTGTGATTTGTCACAAAATGGTCCATCTGGAAATGGAAATTTGTAGCAGAAGAACTAGAAAGTTAGCTTAAAGATGAGAACAACTTAGCCATGCATTTGAAATTATGTCTTTGCCCCATTTTAGATAATTGAAAAATGCCTCAGTAGTTATGATTGATGATGCACAATGATTCTGCTGCTGCAGGTGCTTTGCAAAAGCAAGAAATATTCCTAGTATGCAGGTAGAAATACAGGTGGATAGAGACTAAGGAAACAAAAGAAATGGACTTTTAGTGCCTTGATACTGATGACTAATGATAATAATTTTCCATATATATATATCAAACACACAAAAAAGGGATAATTTGGATTGAGACTGTATATAGTGAAGGAAATATGTTTTCTGTCTGATGATAGTGCAAAAGAACTGCTCTGCTCTATCTTGTGACAAAAGTAGAGATGAGCAGGCACAGGGTTCTGGCAAAAGAAAATAATCAGCATTCTCTCCGGTGAGTCTGGAAGCACTGGAAAATACAACTCAGTTTGGTTAGATTACATGATTTTGTGTAGTCATCTATTCCATCTGAATTTCGAACAAAATGGTAATCTCAGACTTCACATCAAGTGTTTCTCCTGTTTCCATATGAACCAGAAACACAGTGTTAGCAGATTTTCTGTTATAATTTATGGTTTTTTCCTCACAGCACAACTTAGACTCAGATGTAAATATGCATGGAAGAAAACGAGGAAGAAAAAGTTTCTTGAACGTTTCTGTATCTCCAGAAATACCTTGAAAGAAAGCTTAGCTCAGCTGAGTTGTTATATTGTCTATGGCTGCATGTAGCACCGAGGAATGGAAAAATAGATTAAAATGTTATTGCAGCTTCAAGTGTAATAGAACAGGCACTCTGCGCTAATTGCCTTTAAAAATACCTTGTTTCTTCTCTAAGTGGTTAAGGAAGGTTGACTGTCTAGCGGTGCTAGGCCAGAGCTGAGTTGTGGAAGGGTGCTGCACCTGGGCTGGGTGCACTGCTGGGATGGAGAGGTGGGAGGGACCCGCATGGAGTCAGACTTGGACTTGGACTCTCTGGTCCTGCGTTTAGCAGTGGCTGTTGTATCTGGTCGGGTCAAACCTCTCCAAGAGGGTGCCCTGACCAGCGGCCATGTCCTTCCCCTTCATCTTCTGTGGCCATGCCCTGTTCACTCTCCAAGGCTCTATATCCCACCAGATATTGATCCTTCAGTAATTTTGGTGCTCCCTATAGTTAATGCTTGGGGAACTGAAATGTCCAAACTTTAATTATTTATGCAGATGAAAAGTAAAAAAACATATTTGACTATAAGATGCAGTGTTGCTTTTATATTGTTTACCTAACTGGTTGCTAGAAATAAAGAAATCTGAGTTGATCTCCAGTAACTTTTGCCTGCATAGTAATGCCGTATTGGATCAATATTGTCCTCGTCTTGTCTGCAAGGAGTGTTCTCCTAATTTGTGCTGCTGAGAGGGCTCAAACAAGAAAAACCTCAGTTCAAAGTGTACATAGGCGACAGTGAAAAGTACTGTAGTGAATAAGTATGAGGGAAATTTATTTTCATTATTAGTTTACATTCATTAAAACTCCTTACATATAAAGATGAAGGATTCCTTCCTACAGGAGGAAGCATGCGCTTCATCATAGTCACTCCTGAATCTTTTGAGGCTTTAATGCATGGCTGTAATTCTGCTTTGCATTTAATTCATATTTATGTTTCCCTTGGCACTCCAAGCACAGGTGAATTACAGAGAATCACTCATCGCAGACAGCACCTTGAGAGTTGGACACCTCACTACCAAGATTTCCACTAGTGGGTTTTAAAATTAGAAAGCATTATGTGTAGTATTAATTACTTATAAAAGGATCTTATCAACCTTTTCATATACTGACACAGCATTTAGCTTTGAGACTTTGCAGAAGTGAATTTCACATGCTTGTATTTTTATATTAAGAAAAAATTCCTATGGATTTAGCATTTCTATCAATTATAATAAAATTAATGTTGTTGCATAGTAGTCTGTTGTACTCTAGGACAGCATTAAAAAGTAGTGGCTGTTCAGATTTTGATTTAATGGTGTTTGTTAATTATCTATCTCTTCCTTTTACCAAGTTAATGATACTACTTCTGCAGACTTCAAGTATACCGTAGAGCAGATCTATATAATGGCAACCTCCATTGGCTCGATTGCCATAGTCTTGCTCCACCTATGTTATCCTACAACATATTTTAAATGCACATGCCTACCTTTAGTTAGCATTTGGCAAGTAAAATTATGATTTTAATAATATGTTTCCATCTAATACAGATTTGAGAAACCGCTATTCCAGATTACCTCCCTAGTAAATGATGATATTCTTGCTCATAAAGGCATCTCATTGGATCAGTGATATAGATCCCGTAATATTTTATGAACTTAAAAGTGCATTTATTTTAATCTTTATCTTTTGTTAACTAAATATCTTAAAGTTGGTTTCAAGCATCGCAACATTTCTATAGTAGCCAAAATGAAAAATAATACTGCAATTTAGGTTGTGTATCATTGATCCAGTAACGTTGTATTCTCAGTGAAATTAATTCCTTTTTATGGGAGCCCACACATTTTACATGTTTTACTCCTAACTGTAACATTTGTTAAAACTACTTATTAAATAGTTAAGCACGCACTATTATATCTATATTCATAGCTTCAGACTCAAGAAGGCAACTTCTTTTCCCATTCAGCTGTTATCTTACAGTTTCATAAACAATCCAAATTATCCAAAAATTATTATTTTGGTGGTAGATATTCCCATGGAACTCCTAGAGTATTGCATGTGGGGCCATGCATAACAGTGACCTATTGTCATCCAAAAATGGTGAATAAATAATAAATGCAAAAGCAAATAGTTCTGCTCTACAGACCTCTGCAAAACAAACAAAATCCCCTGCATGTGTATGAATAAATATTATTAGATTAGTCATTATCTCATATTTCATATAGATGAAATTCAGTTAATTGGACTATGTTGTGCATTTGTATAATTGTAAGGTTTTTCAGTTATCCAAAGATATCCATTCCTCGTGGATCTATCATAGTATGTTTAAGATGTAGATCGCATGAGCACATATAAGCAGTGGAATGTAGTCATATTTCAGAAGATTTTAGTGAATTCAGAGAAGTGAGGGAGTTTGAGAAGTAGTGGGTTTTTTAAAAAAATAAAGAACTGAATATAATGGAATAAGAAAAATAGATTATTACAGAGCTATAAAAATTATTTCAGTGGGTAGTAGCAGATCAGAAGAAATCTCTGATGTCCACCAAGGAGAAACATCAAAGGAGAACAAAAGCAACCATCATATATGAGAGGAAAAGACTGTGAAGCAGAAAAAGATAAAGATGGTGAAATGGGTGGAAATAACAGCCAAGGAGAATCATAAAGTCTATGAAGAAAGGTTTCTGCTTAAGTACTGTAGCATTTTAATAATTTGCAAGGTATAATTATTTTAATGTATTTCTGAATATTACTACAATTTTTCATTGCCATAATAACATAGTTTAGTGATTAAATGCAGGGAAGAATTACATAAAATGGCTTAGCTGCAAATTAAAAATAATAACAAAATTATCCCAAATACAGTAATTTCTTAGTACATGACTTTTTTTTCTTTCTTTTTTTTTTTTAATCTCTAGAAATTTAATAATGACTGGTGGATAGGACGGTTGGTAAAAGAAGGCTGTGAAATAGGATTCATACCAAGCCCAGTCAAACTAGAAAACATGAGGCTGCAGCATGAACAAAAGGCAAAACAAGGAAAATTCTACTCCAGGTAATAACAAATCATTAAAAATAGTAGCATTGACTGTGACACAACTTGGAAGTTAATACTGTATGTGCTATAGTTCTGTTTAATTATTGTAATTGGCAACTACAAACATTTTGAATCAATGAAAGAAGTAATATTTATTTATATAATTAATATCATTGCAATCTGAGAAAGCAGATATTTAGATTGGTGGTCTGTGGTGGCCTACAATGGCTATTATTTCATTCTATTTTCATAAAATATTTGCAAATATACATTGCAGTTAGTACATTTACTATGTGCAAGCACAGTTTTTAACTTAAAAATAGATCTCCCTAAATTCTTTAGCATTTGTTACTTGTTTTCGTGTTCTTGCAATTTCTAAACACTTTTAAATTGATTTTAGAAATTACAGAAAATGTTAAGATTAATTTATTTGTAAGCTGAAGCCAGTGCCTGTTAGTTAGCTCTTAGGGAAAAAATTTTTTTGGTCTTATCAAATTCATTGCCTACAAATACAGCTTTTAAGAATACTGCATGTTATGATGGAAGTTTCGTGTCCAGTCCTTTGTTGTCTCTGCAGCCGTCATTACATAAAAATAAAGATTCAGTATCTAAATGTATTGAACAATACTGCAAGATGGTAATAATGTCATCTTTACTGTAGAATTCTTAATAAAGTAGTTTTCCAGTAAGCATTTAACACACGTGGAAGCAAATGCCCCTTGCTTCCCTTTGGGTATATAGGAAGCAAATATTTCCCATATGTCTGAGTGGGGTGGACCTGAAATTGAGAAGACAGCTAGGAAACATTTGGGCAGCCAGAAAGGCTTTCCTACTTCAATAGAAAGGGCGGCAGTGTTTGAAGAGCCTGTCTACACTAGGAGGAGACCAGGATGCTGCAGTGTTCAGCCACATTCACCAGCTGTGAAATGCCTTTCCTGTGAGTGTGCTGACCTCAGCAGGAGGACATCAGGTTCCTTACTCCTCTCATGACACTTCTGATAAAGCCAAATCTGACCCAATGATTCGATCCCTTTCCAAATTGTAAAGGCTTCCATTCTCTGAAAATTCTCACTGGAGGTAACACTGTCCTACACCACAAATGCATTTATTTAGTACTTATCAGTATTTTAAGATGGAGAAAATGGAAACTAGTACTATCATATGAATTATTTGAGGAGTGAAATAGCCTTTCTTAAATTCTTTTCAGTGCTTTTCTTGTTATGGTTACTGAAATAAAATCACTAAAATATTGTTTCTTTTTCACACCTTGGGTAAGTTTTCACAAAGCAGAACTTGACAAAACCCTAGACTGCTTTATCTTCATTTGAGAGACTTTTTTTTCCCTAAGTGCTACCTTATATTGAGATAGCAAAAGAATTTGTACTTTAATTAAATTGAAAATATGTTAGGCAAGCACATTATCATTTTCTTTAGGGAGCTATCAATAACTCTTCTCTTAAGGGAAACAGATATGCTCACTGGCTTAAGTATTAGTAATGAGTAGTAATATTAATAATTAGGTATCGGTAGCCATATTAATAATTGGATTGCATCAAGATCGTGAGGTAGTGAGAGCATGTGCAGCAGAATGAAGTTACACAGCAGAACAAGGAGCATGATTGATGTTTGCAGTTCCTCAGTCCTCAAAATGTACACACATTTTGTGTAAGATGTATATTTTATACCACTTCCAGAAATACTGTTTGTCTCTCGGCTAGCAGCTCATTTAGAAGGCAGGTAATAAATAAACTAGAATAAATACTGAGAAAGCTATGAAACTTCAAAGTAATTTGTTGTTTTACTCCAGTAAATCAGGAGGGAACTCTTCATCCAGTTTGGGTGACATCGTTCCTAGTTCCAGAAAATCGACGCCTCCATCATCTGGTGAGTAGATCATGAACCCTTCAGTTTACAGACTCGTGCAGCTAATCTGTTAAAATTTGTACACATTTAGTTCTATTTTTCTTATTCCCTGTATTTCATTTGTATAAGGTTGAGTGGTTGCGTTGCCCTATAAGGCTGGTTTGTGTAGGTTTGAAGTAATCGAGTTAATGCCAGCAAGTTTAGGCAATGATAAGACTGTTAACAATGCACAAAGTTCCCTTCTTTGCTTTTACCATGGTACTTTATAGCAAAGACATAATAAAATGATGAGACTGCATTGCAGTAGGATAGTTAGAGGTTTGGTCTGCTCTGAGCAGTCGTGCTGAACAAGGAATACCTTGTGGTACAGGAGAAAAAGCAGCAACAAGAACAAAAATTCCCAAGAGTTTTCTGCAGTAGCATCAAGAATGGCTTTATTTTATAATAACAGGAACTTTCAGTTTCACAATTCTTATAATGAGAGTGTGCTTCACATCATTCTAGCACACTGGATATTTTTTGCCTTTTGTGACAAATTTTTCACAAATATTGTTTTGTATTTAGAGCATCAACAGACAGATTTAACTTTAATTATGTGGGATTCAAGAGGTATAAAGTAGATAGGTGGCAACTTGGTGGAGGAAACTGATATTAGCTCCTTGAAAAAAGCATAGCAGATTACAAAAAAAAAAAAATTAAAAAAAAAAATGTACTAAATTCAACTCCTGTGTAGCTGGATGTTTTATCTTCTCCTGAGAGAGAAAATGTACATTTTGAACATCCGAAATCAGAAAATATTAATGAATGTTGCTAGTGCCTTGTCAACGAGACAAAGATGTGTCTTTTCCAGTCATATTAGTTTATATGGAGCCTGCTCTGCAAACAGGCATCTTAAAATGATCATGAAGATTTTAAAGTATTTACATGGACATTAAGAGACAGAGGAATTCAATCAAGTTATGATAGTAGCTTCATTTGATGTAATTAATTGAACAATATATCTGTCTTGTGAAACCATGAATTTGTTTGTAACAACTAACTTCATTACAGTTGCAGTTTATCAAAATTCCATTGAAGTTCCTTACCTCTCTTTTTTTTAATATATTTTCAGTTTATTAATATGTGTCCATCACAAGTCTGTAGAACACACCTTAGTCTTTTATTTTGTGATGGCTTTAAACTGTCCCATTTATTGTTAAGATCCACTTTTTCAACAACTGCTTTTTGGCAGTAAAAGTGTCCATGGACCTATGTTGTAATTGTATAGTTAGAGCATCTGAAATGCTATAATAATCTTTTGTATCCTAAAAAGACTTGGAGATCAGTACATACGAAGTTTCCAGAATGTTGCACAGAATTTAGAGATAAGAGAACAGATAGCAACTTAGGTTACCAACTGACTGATTGCTAGCCGTCCTGTAATTTTCATTGCACTGAATTGTTTCTTCAGACAGTGGTTTTCAGAAGCATGGATTTCTGGTGAAAGAAGGAAATCTGGTAACGTTTATTCAGTTACATTGAAGATTTGGAAGAATATTTATGAATAGTGCACATTAGCTTATTCTGTGACCTTAAGATTTTGGGTCAGCATTGTTGGGTTTTTTTGCTTATCTTCAGACATCCCAAGAAGGGTGAAAGAGGTGTAGTTTGTGACTAACACAAGAACTCAAGTGCCTTTGAAGTACAGTTCAGTTTATTATTCCCAGGCCTCCTCTTTTTGAAAGCATAATAAATAACAAATACATAAATTATTTAATGGGTTGAAGAGATTTTAACTGAATTTTTTGACTTTGAGTCAGGGATTTTTTTTTCAATATAAACAAGTGCCACAAAAACAAAAAAAAACCAAACAAGATGAAGAACCAGTGAAAAACAAATGAAAAGGAGGCTTATAGCCATTTAAGTAATCAATTTTATATTGATATAACAGGATGAGGACAATGGTGAAAATGACTTTGAGAAAAAACCCAATGAACTAAAGATAATTAACAGTAAAAGACCTATCAGAGAAGATGTTACGTAGTATGAAGACTGAGAATGAAAAAAGGTGATATTGATATCTAGCTGATCAAATGCTGCATTTCTTTTTTACAGGAAAAAATTTAACAACCCTGATTTTTCTTTACTGATGATTTTAGTTGAACGTAGAACTAAAGGAGTTTTAATATGCCTTATTATGAATGATTTATAGCATCTATGCTGACCTGTATTCAAGAGAAGATAATACGTTCTTTTTACACTTATGAAGGGGATGAAGGAACAGTGTTGCTAGAAGAAAATGTGACTTCATTTCTGTGGCTGGTTTTAGGGAGCAGGAGTGTAGAAACAGGGTGCAGATCTACTTCCAGGCTTTCCTGGCAAGGGCAGGTTCAAAGGCACATTTCTCTAACTCAGGGATTGTCAGGCATCGTGGCATTAGATCTGTGGATAATTCAAATGGGAAAATATGCTTTACTCAAACAGCAGAGATCACTGCCCCAAGTGTCTCTTAAATCAGTAGCTGCACGTAGGCTTGACAGAAATACTTATTTGTTGCGTAATTTAATGGCACATGCTGCTGTATTAGTTGATGTCTCACTCAACAGGCAACTGAAAGCAGGTCGCTAAAGTGGCTTTGTAATGGTTTGCAGTGATTAATTATGGGTTTGGATGAAGTCAATGCAAACAATACTGCTTACAGATCTATTTAGAGTTAGATTCACTTTGACATAATGACATGGCAAGATAAGCATGTGTTACCAGAGTGTGTCAAGAGGTGGGTAAGATCTTTACACACAAAGGTGATGTTGTACAGCGTCTTTGTGGATCGCTTTTGTGTATACAGTTGCTTTCTGAAGATGAATTTAGTAAATTACTTAAGATTAGGATTGACCATTGTAAACAAGAATGTTTTGGTGAGTGGTTTTGGTTTGGTTTGGTTGGCTAGTTTTGTTTTTTTTTGTTTCGGATGTAGTTAGCAGGTATCTGTTGGACTCAGCATTCAGAATAACATGGCTTTGCATTTTGAAAATGTATTTATTTCTAGGTCTATGATCATTTTTGCTTAAACTGGTGTTACTTACTTGCTAAAGAGGGTAAATATTTTCCATTTATGGTATAAGCATTGTGTGCTCTGTGGGGTTGAGGTAGAACAGCAGTGGTTTATTGTATCCGCTTCCGTTTTGCCCTGCCTAAGCCCTCGCTCTTTACAACAGGATCCAGGTCTGTGAGACAAGTTGGGATCAATTTCCTCTCTTCTGCTACTCATTTTTTTTTTAGTTTTCACTACTAGTAGGTCTGGTTTTATTGTTTCTAATAAATGTATCTTATGACTACTGTGCATTTTCAGGTAAAATGATTAAAACTGCGAATTGTAGTCTACCCTGAGGTAAACGTAGATATTATTGTACTAGTAAATCAGGCTGATTTTGTCTTCTAAAGTGATTTTTCTTCTGTTTCTTAATTTTCATATAGACACGCTAGTGACATTTCAAATTTTAATTGGTGATACCCATTTTGAATTAGTGTTCATTGCTGTAAAATAATTCAGATGTTGTTGACCAAGTTTTGTTGTTTACATTGGTGAAAGTCGTATCTATTCCAGTGAACTAGTTTGGATTTACAGTGGTGTAACAAGGAAAATGTTATAGTAGCTGTTACAGATTGCCTTCTGTCTTCTAATCCTAATGTACCACACCTTTTAAATTTTCCCTTTGTTCTATTGTTGTTTGTACTCATGGTTGATTTTTTAATTTTTATTTATTTATTTATTACTCTGGACAGTTTTATTTCTCTTTACCTGTTATTTCCTTTTTAACCTATCTTTACTTTCCCTGTCATCTGATAATTCTGAATTGTTTGTCTGTATATAGCTATAGACATAGATGCCACTGGCTTAGATGCAGAAGAAAATGATATTCCAGCAAACCATCGCTCCCCCAAACCCAGTGCAAACAGTGTAACATCACCCCACTCCAAAGAGAAAAGAATGCCCTTCTTTAAGAAGGTAACACCGACTTCCAAGCTCCCATCTGTCCACCTGCTCACCTGCACTGCGTCACATTTCTAGTCCTGTTAACTGTCTGCGTCCTTTGACAAGCCAATAACATGCATGCTTTGTTGTTCTTTGTTTCTTTTCCATGCTGCTGTAGCTAAGCAGAAGCAGAAATCGGTAAGTTTATATCGACATTACCTGTGTTTATCCTGCCACTGGCATCATTAGCATTATTACCCCAGATTAATGGTGCAGCTATTCTAGAATTCAGGAAGAAATGTACTGAACTGTTAGTGGATTCTGTACAAGAAAACAAGCAGTCCCAAGTTCAATGTGTCCGTGAAACTCTGCTACAGTACTTATCCTTTTTGATGGAATAATAGGACACACTTAGAAGGCCTTCTAAAAGTTTGAGAAATTTATTTCTAACAAATCCATGTAATGCACCTCTCTAGAGCATGCTTATTCTTTCTATCTTTCTCAAGTTGTTTTTTTTTTTCCTTGTAATTCAGTCTATTGAAATCATTATTGGAATCTAATCAGGTACTCAGATTGTAGTTAGAAAACAAATAGTCAAAACTGTTGTATTTTTAATTTAGTCAGCATTTAAACTTCTAATTCACTAGGTGCAAAATCTGCAGATGAACAAGACCAGTGGAAAACCACAGACTTGTTTTGACGGTTTACTTTGAGTTTTTCCTGTTGTCATGTATAAATTATCAGCCAAATGTTCTTGCCATCCATCAGTCAGACTTTTTTAGTATCTCAGAAATTGGAAATGGTACTGGTGGTTCCCAGGAGAGCCAATGTCTCTCCATAGATAACCCAAATAACTACAGAATTATGCAATTGGCATCCTGTTAACAGCAAACTGCAATACGTTTCTAGGATCTTTGCTGGAATAAGTCATCAAGACATCAGGTAGCAACCAAACTATGCAGTGAAATAACCACATTTCTACTTTTCTTTTTTTGAATCTTTAGTCTTCGTAGCTCTTATTCATTTGTTTTTAACCACTCACTTAAATCTGCAGGCGACAACAGACTGTTTATAAACAATGCCAAGTGACACTTTGCCTGTGCTGTGGATGCTCTCATGTTTAGTAAATAAAGCTTTTTTTTCTCTCTCTCTTTTATTCTTGAACTCTTTTAAATAACAGTGGATCCTTCTCATTTCCAAAGTCACCAGTATTTGCTTCAGTAGGGTCTGTTTAGTACCATGTCATTCACAGTCCACTGTGGCAATCAACAGCAATTTCTTGCTTCTGAGTAATTTCTTACTTAATCATATTTATAACCAAATATAAATTCTAAGGAAGAATAACGCATGTTGACGTGTATTGGATGCTATCTGCATAAGCATCTTTTGAAGATGCAGCTTCTAGATGAACCACCTTGGACCTGGATGGTGGCTAGTCCCATCTCTCTTCATTCTGTGGTGCATCTTTTCTTCAATATCAGAATCAATACTGGTTATAGTGGGTATTGTAATACTGACATTTACAGTAAATACTGGATGGACATCCCAAACTAATCTATATAGTCAAACCACTGAGCAAAACCCATATGGTCAAAACCATTGTTCTGAGTTCCTATTTGAACTTGAGTCTGCAAACGAAAGCTATAAAGCTCAGTGCCAGTCCCTTAGAAAATATTAGATTCTCTAATGCTAAATTAAAGAACTTTAATGCTTCCATTAGATAACTTTTACTCAATTTTCTGCTGACAGCTTCATTATTTCAAGCTGTAAAGATTAGAGAAAAAAAAATACCTGTTTCAACAGACCAGATTTTTAAAATACCCCATATTCCATCAAATAAGGTAATTTCTGTGCTTTCCCTGATTTTCAAATAGCTAGTTAACTTCTAGTATGGATACCTTCAGTTGAGTCAACCACATTAAGACAAAGATCTGTTGCATCAGGACACTCATGCAAGAAGCACTTACACATCTGTAATGAATTTTTCTTAGGATCTGTCTCTAATACGCTTATCAGATTATTAGTAATACTAGCAAGAACACAGGAGGGCTGCATTTTGATACTGGCACGGCATAATTGCAGGGTTTTGCTTTGAAATGTGTTGAGTCAGATTCTGCACTGTGTAAAATAAATTGATTCCACATGCTTATGATGCCTTGGGCACTGGTATTCATTCTTACGTTACTAATCATCTGGTGAAGCTACAGGTCACAAAAAATAAGATAAGTTACACTGAAAAACATTCACAAAAACGTTTTCCATGTTTTAGACTGCTTTAGACTGCTGCTTGTGTAGCATTTTGTGCTGTCGCTATATTAATGTCCGTCTTTGTGTTTTTCTGTTTCGGAATGTATATACTTATTTTAATGTTATTGTGAAACACCTTGGGATACATTAAATACTGAAACAATGAACAGTGACTGTATTCTATGATCTTGACTGATGTATTTGTATTATGTAGGCATTTGAAAAATAGATCTAGCGTACTTTTTTCCATATCACCCACATGTTCCTGGATTTGGATTTCAGTCATTTTTTCCCAAGACAAAAATAAACCAAACCCTCCCTTACAAACAAAAAACTCTTTCTGATAAGAATAATTCTTGGTGTTATATATTGAATAGCAATTTATTAAAGGAAAAAAACAGTTTAATTTGTTTCTGTTTTATTTTGGTAACAATATAAAAATTTTTACAATCTGTGGAAGCAGGCAGTCTTTTAATCTTTGTATTTTAAAATACTTCTTATAAATTGTGCACAATACATCAGTAAGTAGTTTGGTGAATACTGTACTAACAGAATCCATTCTTGGGTGGTGACAGGAGCTTCCCAAAGTGGAAGAATTGCTATCCCAAGCTCTGTTTATGAAAATTTTCTAGAAATACTAACTTGATCAGTCATTATTTCATTTGCAAATGAATTGCGGATGCAAATGTGGAAGTCAGACTATGAGTGCTCCCATGGGAATTTGCAGTGGTGTCACAACGTTTTGTCAAGCAGTGGGCAGATCTGAACATAAAAAGAGATGTGTTATGCTTTTCCCATCCCTTTTTGTTTTATTTTTCTCTTTCATAATTTGCCTACATAGCATTTTGGTGGGAAACAGAGATCACAGCTCTAGAGTCAATCACTTCAAGTTGTTAACTGTTGGAAACAACCTGTTCAATTTACCAGTTAGGAATTATGGAGTGGGACATGTGAATGTCTCCAGACTAAACAGTTTTGCATCTATCCAGAGCAGATATGAAAACAGTAGTCACAGCTCACTCACTCACAGAGATCACAACTCAATCACTTCAAGTTGTTAACTGTTGGAAACAACCTGTTCAATTTACCAGTTAGGAATTATGGAGTGGGACATGTGAATGTCTCCAGACTAAACAGTTTTGCATCTATCCAGAGCAGATATGAAAACAGTAGGAAAACCAGAAGTCAAAGAAAAGCTTTTTCAGAAGAAATCCCTGAACCTGTTAGGTCCTTATCTTGTACTACCGCTTTTCGGGAAAAGTTAATGAATCCATGATTCCTGTGTTGGTGACATCACTGGAAATTCAGTTCCTAATATTTTAAGTAATGTGTAACACTTTCTCCAGGTGCTGTGATGCTGAAAGCTTTTTCTGTTTTGCAGACAGAGCACATCCCTCCCTATGATGTAGTGCCTTCTATGCGACCAGTAGTTTTAGTGGGGCCTTCTCTGAAGGGATATGAGGTAAGTGATTGTTGTGAATGGATTTATTTTGCCAAAAATATTGTACTTCATTTGTACTTGAAAGTTCAAAGGTAGTTAACCTGAATAACATTATTTATACCATAGACAAAAAAATCTAGACAATTTTTACTTCTACTTGATAGCTGCTTGTTTGTATTTTATTTCATATCAGAATTCAGATTAAGAATAAATTATATTCCAATCTTATTGTTCAGGTATAAGATTTACTGTCAACTTTATTACATATTATTAGCATCAAGTATTATGAATGTCCTATGTGATTATTAATTTGTTGTTTGTTTACTTATAGGTAACAGATATGATGCAAAAAGCATTATTTGATTTTTTAAAACATAGATTCGAAGGGCGGTAAGTACTTGCAATGCAAATCTACTTGAGTTCAGGTCCTGTTTAGGTACTACCAGGTTTTTAAGAAATAATTACATTCTTTTTATAGAAAATCAAGAATAGCAGCCAATTCCTTGATCAGTGGACTATAGTGCGGATTGGAAATTTCCTTAGCAAAGCACACTGTGGCTGTGTTGCAGTGGGAGGTGTTCAGGGGCATATATTTGTTGAGAGTGGACAAAAGGGTGTCATCTTCTTGATGACTGTGACATTCACATTCCAAATTGCTAGATATTTATCTACAGATTTAATAAATGTGTACTCTTAAAAAGTTATTTTTTTAAAGTATTTTTCAAGTGATATCTCATCAATGCCTCCTGGGTTCTGTACAACCTGACAAGGGCCACCATTCCTCCTCAGCTCTAGTTCTTTAGAGTGCCATCTAACTTGGGAAGAGCGATACGTGATTCGGACTGTCTAATGTAGAAGATTGTCAAACTTTTGATCCCTCAAGATGGGAACTTGGCTTGACAGTAGTGCTGAACTCTATAATGGGAAGTCTTAAAAGGACTGCTGGGGAGGGGAGCAGTCCCCCACCTTGCTGAAATATGGTCACCCTTGGTAGCACACAGGCTGCACTTCGCTGGGTTTGGATCTGAGTGCTGTTACAGCCTATCCCCCACAGTGTACTAAGCAAGGTCCAATCTGATTTCTATTTGAGCCTCCAGGCATTACTGTAGTACAAATGTCGAATGATAATCTGTCTTTAAAAGCAGTGGCATGTTCTGAATTCAAACATCTTGGACTTACGGACCAGAGACACCAGGTGCATTCTCCACATGTGATTATATTGCTACTAGATCAAGCCCTCGATTAATATGTGCTAATGGGTTGATATTTGGGGGGGAAAAATTGAGAAAACTGGAAGGTCTTCAATGAATGTTCTATTTAGTTTTGAAGTGAGCAGAGCAGTAATGCTATGCTGTCTGTCCTGGTGCTGTCAAACTTTCAAAAGGGAGCTTGAGGTTTTCTGTCAACAGATGCAACTCTTTAACGTACCAGATATTGTGGTTTAAGCTGTTGGATTTTCTCAGTCAGAATGATGATGTTGATACCTAACCACTTAGAAGTCCCTCTTTATATTAGTCAGGGTTGTCAAATCTTAGATATGTACCTTCAGAATTGGAAGTCAATGAAATAGTGAGTGTTGCAATCAGAAAAAAGTTACAGCATTTTTATGTCTTTAAGTATTTTAGAGCATACCTAATTTTCAGTTGTAGATCCAATTGTGGCAGGGTGAGTTACTCTTAATACAATTGATGTCTATAGTAGCAGATTTGAAGCATCCCAAACTTCAGTAGCAATCTGAATTGGTACTCAAGGTCCTCAACAAATTTGTACAGGAGGTTCTTAAATTCATGCTACTGCTTTCACTGCCACTCTGCTGCCAAGCTCTCCCCACTCTCATTGCAATTGTTTCACTATATGAACATACATGCCCTTTATTTTGAGAGTAGACTTGTTCTTCCTGGTGTTACATATCTCAAAAGACATTAAAATGACATTAAAAGACGTTAAAAGATCTTAAAATGAAAAATAGCATTTTAGTCTCATAAATCTAGCTTTGTTTAATATACCATAATTGCATTTGAAAAAAGGAAAAATTATTTTCTTTTGCATGTAGGAAGGAAGACTGGCAGGGAAAAAAAAAGATCAAAACAAACAAAAAAAACAAACCCAAAAGCTGTAAAAGTTTTTAGTGTTCATTAGCTAGCAAATCCAAATTACATGTTGGATTTCAAGACTAATATTATTAGCTGTGAGGAACTGTGCCAGAAATTACAATCTTTGGTTATGTTTCTAGCTTAAGTTAAATCATGCCTAAATGTCAAAAATCATGTTACTAATCAGTATTGTGCAAATAATTCTGTTTTTCTGTATTAACTTCTGACTTCGATAGATTTTGTAGGGTTTTAGATAAATATACACACATGTTGAGTTCATTGGGAAATGACCTGTTTGGTTACATTTCAGATGAACAGCATCTGATGGTGCTTGCTAGAGGAGCCCTCCCTGTTCTTAGCAAATCCATTTCCTCCTTTTAAATTGCAAGTAAAATCATACAAGGAAGAACAAGGGAATATCATCAGTCTGATTTAACTCTCAGCACTGGAAAAATGTGACCCATAAACCTCCTTAGACCAGAGTTTGAAAGGGAACTTATCCAAAGGGTACATTTTGACCCTGTAAAGCAAAACAAACTGAGTTAACTGTTTTCCTAGGAAGAAGAATATGCAGAAGGTTATGTAGCAGGTTAGTGCAAACAACTGGAAGTAACCACTTCTTTCTTGGCTCATCTTTTCTCATAGACACAAAACTGAGCCTGCCAGATACTCAGCCCAGAGTTTTCATGTGCATGCTTACAGTCTTACAGTCCCCATATTTAGGTGGCCAGCGTGTTGCTGGATGTTTCTGAAAAATTATAGGTAACTCTTGCACTCTGTTAAAAAACATATGCCAGTAAACTGAACAATAAAAAGAAGAGTCATACGACTGTACTAGTTTCCCTCCTAAGCCTTACCATTACCTGTTAACTCTGCATATTCCTGTATGTCTTGTATGTGTGGTTAAAGTAAGCCAAGTTGTCATTCAGTACCTTTTAACAAATTAACTAGAATTAGGACCAGCCTATTCTTACTGGGGATACTGGTGTAAAGTCTAACCACATGAGGCCTGGAGCCTCCAGGGAAGTCCTATCTTCTGCAGCCTGTCTCTGACCTCCTCCTGCCTGACTCCCCAGTCAGTGGTCGTACTGCATTTCGATATGGTGCACAAAAGTGGATATCTTATCCATAGTTCTTCTAACAGTATTAGATAAAGTTTCTTCTCTGTTCACATTGTTCAAAGCATACTGTGCTGCTGAGAACAACTTTTTTTCCTGTAGTCTTCGCCATCTTCTAGTGTTAAATGAGTCTCTTTTCCTCCCCACATCCCTGCAAGATAAGTAACATTCTGTTCTATTTTACTGTATTTTATTTTTGCAGTATATCAATTACACGAGTCACAGCAGACATCTCGCTTGCTAAACGCTCAGTATTAAACAATCCCAGTAAGCATGCGATAATAGAGCGATCTAATACAAGATCAAGCTTAGGTAAGTACCCGCTATGATGCTATCTATAAATTTCCTGTAAGGTATACTACTCTCAATTCATATGTATAAGCTAAAAATAGCCTTCTCTCTGCTGTGAGAAAATCATGATTCCCATAATTCAGAAATCCTAGCACTAGAAATAATTTTAAAATCACTACCAGGTAAACATCATAAAGTGCTGATTTTGTTTTATCCTGCTTATGTTCAGTTTTTGTGTTTTGCTGTTTGCCTCAGGGGGGAGAAGTAGCCATCCATAAGGTAAATAAAATCTGAAGAGATGTTCTTCTGGTTAAATAGAAGTGACAGTTTCAGAATACTTGAAATTATATGGATATTATTGATATTATGTATTCTCTTTGATAAGATTACTAGTAATGATAGCTATTGATATTAGACCTCAAAAAATTATTGAAGTACACATTTTCTGAATTTTGTATCAGTTTAAACTAATGCTGAGGTTGGTACAAAATATGAAGGATAGAAAAGGGGAGATGCTTTTAAAAAACTGTATAGCTAGGTTCATAGCATGCATATCTGTCATCTTACATGAGTCTTTTTGTACTGAATCTTGTCCAGTTGTATAAGTAATTAAACATTTATTAGGCAGAAAAAGAAACAAACTTAGCTGGGAGGATGTAACTAAATGTCACCATCTACAGTACAGGTGGCTAAACTGAAGCTTGTCATCCCAAGATGTCCTTAGAGTAAACAAGCAAAGGTGATCACTTTGGAGTCTCAGCTCATGAGGACTGATCTCAGCCTTTCCCCTGGCATGAGATGCATTATATCCAAGACTCCGCGGCCACTGCTGGCTCATTCCCTGTGTAGAAACACCTGGAGATAGCCAAGATGAATCCTGCCAAGAGTCTACGTACTCGTGATAGGGGCACTCAGCTGAGATATGGGACACCCAAGTTCTAGTCCCTGCTCAAATACAAAAAAAGGAGGAACTTGACCTCAAATGTCCTAGATGGCAAGTGAATGCTCCAGCCAGGTTTCTGTCTTTATAAGGCTGCAGATTTCTCTTAGTAGCCTTTGAGAGAGCTTGGTTTTCCCTGTCCACAGCATTGTATCTTGAAATCTTGTAAATTTTGTGCGACAGGAAAGAAGTCACATTCATCCTGCTAAATGGGTTCTTTATCAGTTTTATAACAAAATTTCTAAGTATACCAGTACTTTGAATATTTAATTTGCCTAATATAACTGTTCTCCTTAGAATGAGCTTCTCTGCCTTAAAAAGTTTTACTTCCCTTTCTTGAAAATTTGCTTCTTAAAATCCTTGCTTTCAGCTATGAGGAAGCTGTGAATCTTTACTTGCAAGTAGTCTGAGAGCTTCCAAGTATGTTATCTTTTAAGTGTTTTCAAATATCAAAGTGCAATGTACTGTAACAACATAATGAATATCTTTACACACAAGAATATTTTTCTGTGTGAATTTCAGTCTTGTTGCTGCGGTCTGTTTAATAATCTAATGAAATGATAAAGTGTCACTTGTTTTGAATAGAACTGGAAATTGGTAATAGGGATGGAGATCACCCAGTTGTGGAACAAAAAGAACAGTGGTGATTAATTTTCCAACCTGAACATCAAAGCTGGTGCAATGTTTTGCAATACTGCACAAATATATGCAGCAGTAAAAAGCATATCATCTATTTATCATGCTAAAATATTTTCATATATTTAAACAACTATCACAAAAATTTATATGGGGAAAAAAAAAATCCATTAAAAATGCAGCCCAATTGTATACACCTTTATCTCATGGAGAACCTTACCCTTAAGGACATCAACATCTTTTCTTTGGGTCAAGGTATTTTTTTGATAGACATGTTTAAAATGGAAGTTCTGACAGAACCTCAGTTGGAGACACACGAAAGATGACAGAGACTATATATGTGTATATGTAAATATGTGGATAGATAGATAGGTGTCTCTGTTTTTTGTAACAGGCCTTTTATTATTACCTAACATTTCCTGCTACATGTCAGGTTTTCAACTGCTTATAATTATTCTAAAAATTAACTGATTTATAAAATCATTTTGAATTATCTCGGGAAATATTAGTTAGAGCAACTAGGTCATTTTAACAATGAAGTTAGAGCAAAAATTAATTTTACCTGTGTTAAAATATTCTCAAAACCTTTTCTTTCACAAGCTGTAATACCCCCATACTTCTAATAATCTAGCAGGGTTTTGAAATTTGGTAGTGAATCAAACACTATTTCAGTTACATGTTTCTGGGCATTTTTTATGAAAATAATGAGAAAACTTGACAAAATTATTAGAAGCTGACGTTAACGCATGCCAAGCTTTGCATCTGAATTGCGTAAAGACTCAGCTCTCCCTAGGCAAAGTCCAGCAATGATGCTGAGCAGAACCTGTCCCCGGCAGACTGGATCAGGGCAGCCCTGAAGCGGGCAGTTGCTCATCTTTCAGCTTTCAATCCCTACTTTGCTGTGCAGCATGGAGTGTGGAGTAAAAAGTTGTTTACTTTAAAGACATTCAACTGGAGGAGCAGGTGGCTGGGCTAGGGCAGAAAGACAAGTAGAGAAAATCCATTATGGAAAAGGTTGGAGTTATGGAGTAGGAGCTGGGATAGTTGAACCCACTGGTGAAGTACCTCCAGGGTCTGTGCTCCAGACATGAGATAAACCATGGGAGGACAAAAAACAGCCAGGAAGGAAGTCAGGCAGGGAAACGGTGTGGTAGCAGTGGGTTGGGGCAAAACTGAGATACGATAAAACAACCTGGAGTCAGAAAAGGGAACTGCTTTTGTAAGGTGATGGGAAAACCCTTATGCAAGGCAAAGGAAAGTAAGTACAAGCAGTGTTACGACCTGTTCCCTTGCTTGCCTGCAACGCACCTCAAGGTAGAAATAGAGTCAGAATCAGAAAATATCATTGTAGCCTGCTGGTAGGTGGCCTTTTCTAGCAGTGGTTCACAAAGAAGATGACAACATAGCACTGCTGTGAGTACTTTGTTGGCTCAAGTAGCAGAGGTGAGTGGCAATATCACACCATATAGTGGAATTTTTGTGTTTCAGTTTGTGTGATGAATTTGCTATAAGTCAACAAAAAAATGCTATTAAAAATATTTGTAGGTTTACAAACTCAAGTTGTGCACAATAAAGGTTAGGAAATAATAGTAAGAAAGTTAACTGTGCAACTTCTAAGCATCTTTAGGTTTTGTATGCTGTGATTCAGTGTTTGGCTATGTGTTTGCAGACTACTTTTCCACCACTCCTCTGCCTTAGTTTTTTTGAAAAATGTAGAAACCGATATGGGGAATTGGAATTTCTCAATGAATTGCTGTTTCACTTGCTATGAAACTTGTACAATGTGTGAGTCAAGAAACTTCAGGAAGGCAGGTGACTTTCTCTGAAAACACAATAGGATATTTTCAGTTTAAATTTGGGGGGAATAGGACAGGAAATAGTGATTTGACCAAAAACTGTTTGTGGCAATAAATCAATCAGTTTTAACAGGAAAGATTTCTTGGATCCAAGATTGAATTCCTGACCATAAAGAGGAAACTTCTCCATCACCCATCCTCTACCCTCCAAAGAGCTCATACCTCAGTATTTAAAACACACATTTGGGTTGCAGGACACGCAGAATCAAGCTTCTGCTGTATCGTGTTTAGAACAGGGATCTGAATTTCAGTCTTAAGTGCACTGAGAAAAAAAATTCAGCAGATGTTGATTCTCTGTTGAAAAAAGGGATAGCCCTAGTGGGAGAGACAGGTCTGCTGCTTACGACCCAATAGATAGCCTGTAAGCTACAGCACTGCAACATGATCTGCCACGAGCCTCTCTTCTGAATCACAGCAGCCTGCACACCTCACCCAGGGCCAACAAAGTAGCCCCTTGGCACCACTGAGGGCTCGGTGCCAGAGATGGCACCCTGTAAAGCTCACCAAGGCAGTGCGGAGTATGCCGTGCCTGCGGCATGGTGCCTGCCCTTGCCTAGAACCAGGGTGGGTGCCAGCGGAGGATGGAGGCACAGAGGGAAGGGGCATTCCCTTGCTCCCCTTCCTGCTGGGCCCCTCTGCACTGCCTCCTGCCCTGCTGCCGGCAGTCCTGGCTCACTGAGTCAGAGGTGAGGTACAGTGCTGAGGGGTGGAAAGGGAGACTCTCTTTTAATGGAATTAACTGAAGAGCCCAATGCCATAGTCGCTTTTGCTGCTTCTGATACAGAATTCCTGTATAGTATTGGACTAGTTATTTACTAGCTTTATAAAGATGGCTTTTTTTTTCCCGGTGTTTTCTACATGCCTCAAGCATGTAGAAGTAGTAAGTGTTGTGGCTGAAACTGAGATTCAGACTTTGAACCTGTTAAATAATAATGTATGCCATCAAAATCAGCACGTTGCATGGTAATGCACTAGTTTGGAAAATGCAGATGAAAACTAGGCAGTACTTGTGGCTCTGCATTTTGCACAAATCCTCTTATTTTAGGCTCTCCTCTTTGCAGACATTTAACTGGGGAGCTATTCTTTTCATTTCCAGCCTAGCTCAAAGAATTTTTCCCTTCTCTCCGATCAGACTGATATCATGTACTGACAGTACAGAGCAGCATCAGGAATGTCTTGAGTCTTAGTACTGACTTCTAAAAGGAGCTTCAAGGTTATGTTCTGTTTTGGAAGAAAGAATCCCCAGAAATCAAAATTTCCTGTAGGGTAGCTTCCATTTTTCTAGTCTGAATGTAATTTTTAGTATGGTAATTACTCTGAAGAATCAGACACTACATTTCTGAAATGTCCCGTCCACCCCACCTCAAATTAGTGATAACATGTGATTATTCTTTGTGATTCAATTTTCTATGTGGAAAATACAAATAATTCCAGCTTCTCACCTGACCGGGACGTTTCAAAGTGAAAAATCATTTTATTGCATCAGTGAAATACCACCACAGTATATTCCATAAAATAGCCCACAAATGATTTAGTCATTCTGTTTTCAAACAAAGATTAGAACAACGTGCTCTAAATGAGACATAAAA